GTACAGAGAATTTTCTCAATAACTGTGCTGTTTCAGCAAATGTTTTACATTTAGGAAGAAATGTTTCCTCTGTGTGTCTTATTTTCTTTTTCCTTCTTTTTACTTATCTCCGAGATAAGGTCATCATGAGACTTGATTGAAAGTTTAATTACTCTGTTTCCCTTATCTCAATTTGTCAAAATAGAATAAATTAAAAAATGATCAGGATGTTTTTTATGGGAACAAAAGAAGAAAAAGGGAGTTATGAACAGTTGTCACCTTTAAAAGTAACTCCCATTTAGACACTAATACAATAGTTGTCTACAGTGAGAAACTTTCTAAACTAGTTTTGTCAGCTACACGTTATCATCTATATGTGATTTCTGATACTTTAAATCCCAAAAATGTGATTCGGGAAATACTTGTCAATATGGAACCAAGGCTTTAATCTTCACAGAAAGATTTACACAATTTAAAATGATGACATGTTTCATTCCAGGGAGGATCATATCTTTTTAGATTATCCTGTTGAAGCATGATTTAATCCAAAGTTAAGAAAGGAGGAAACATATTTCTTTTATGTAACAAAGTTTTCCCCTCATCTTTCCTGGCTGTTGCTGCTTACAGAGGTTAGACTCTAAAGTCAGTTCCTCAGAGAGCCTTTCCTTGACCTCTGGAGCTAAGTCACCTTCTCCAACTCCATATCCCTTATGATTCCATTTTCTTCTTCAAAGCTCTTATTGCTACCTGAATTTAATAACTTACATTGCTTGTCTGCTTAGTGCCTGCCTTTCCCCTCTAATAGTATTCTATGAGGGCAGGGACTGTCTTTACAGTACCTGGGACGTAACCTGGCATACATTAGACAATAAATGACTGAATGAACCAGACCAAGGCTTCCATTCCTTGAGTACTTGCCTTAGGTTGGGTTGTCCCAGAATAAACTCTCAGATAAGGAAGTATGTGTATAAAGTAGTTTACAAAGGATCTTAATAAGGAGATGGTGCCAAGAAGCACCAGGAGGGATCAGAAGAAAGACAGGAATAAAAAGCAAGCAAGGGAGCAACAAATGGAGTTTTTTCATGCATTTTATTATAGGCAACTGGGCTATAAGCCAGCTGGGGAGCTCTGGGAGACAGTGCCGAACATGCTGCAGAATCCTCTCAGCTGAGGGGGCAGGGGGCTGGGCTCCTGTCAGCTCTTGGCTGAGAGCTGCTGTCCTGGGGTTGTTGACATTTCCAGTCTGCTCTGCACACATGCAGGAGGGCTCTGGCAGCCCAGAGAGTCTTTGGTCAAAGAACGACAGGTGCTTAAAGTCTGAAACTGTGGTTGGCACATCACAGCTACCTTGGGCAGTTAATGACTGGGGAGCGGTGGTCAGAAGGAATCTGCACCAGGGCCCCAGTGGGCTGGGACGACCAGCCTCCAAGACAGGCACCGTGTGGGGCAAGAACCAGTGGCAGGAGCAGGCTGGCTTATACTCCATCCTCTCCCTGCTTGGCATTGGTTTGTGTATTCCCAGGGCTCTGTACAATTTGTGGTGAGAAGATGCCTCAAGGGGGACTCTCTGGATTTCCTGTGATGTTGCTTATAGCCAGAGTTTATACAAGTTAGAGAAGTTTATCTGAAAGCAAATACTTCTTCTAGTATATCATTTCCCTTTTTATTTTAGTAAAACTGTTTTTTGTAAAAAAAATTTTCATTTTCTTGAGCTTAATCTTCTGATCTTTTCCTT